CATCCATCCTATCTATCTATCTATCATCTCTATCTGAATTCCTTAGAAGATGAGTAGGATCAAATGAATTCTACCTGGTACCTTAAAACTGTTTCCCGACATTGGTCATTTATCTTTGTGTGTGTTCTTTAAATCCCAGAATTTCACAACTAGAATGGCCAATGATGGGGATTCTGGGAGTTGAAGTCCATACAGTTGGAAGTTGCCAGGGTTAAGAAATGCTGCCTTAAAATATTGTCCTAGAATGTCCTTAAAATTCCTATTGCTGCAATGACCATCGTGATTATGAAAAACTAAAATTTTGGGGATGGATAGTTATGAAAGGGCAAACAATCAGAGTAAAAATTAGCATATGCTATAATTAATAATCAGCCCACCAAATACAGTAATGGTGTGCAACCTTAACAAACATTTGTGTTTCATTTTGAAGAGACCTCTGTCTGCTTTAGAGAACCCAACTGGAGCTGCAATGGCCCAGTTTTCTCAAGGTTTATTTAAAAATCTACGTTTCCCCCAAGCCAAGAGAAGAAAAGCACAGGCCTGGGAACTCAGACCCACAGTTCCTAAAGAGACCACTGTGGCTAGTTTGAATGTAGTAAAGGTGTTAAATACAGAAATAAACTTTGCATAGACATTAGACATTAAGTTTACACTCTCAATTACTGTGCATTGGTGGAATTATTTCTCTGCTTTTTCTCTTCTCCCTTGGGGCAACCATTCAGCTCTCAGGGGAGTTTAATGTAGAATTCACGCTTCAGAGCAGTCTCCTTTGCTAAAATTGTTGCTGTTCTGACCACTTCTTTAGGTTTGTTTGAGCCTTGTTTGCTTTAGCTGGTAGGAAGGAGACAATGGCATCCGTTCTGTGCTCCTTGCTTCTTCTATGGCTCTCCTACTACTGGACTGCATCCACTGAAGCAGCCATGGAAACACTGCAGGTGATCCAAGTCACAGGTGGGTCTTGTAGATGGTTGGGGATGGTTGAAGACTGAGCTGATAACTGATTTCAGATTAACATGCAGGTATATCACGGGTAAGTCAGCAGTGTCCTGACAGTTAGAATAATTAATCAGTGGAATGACTTGCCACTAGAAGTTGTAGATGCTCCAAAACTGGAGATTTTAAAGCAGAGATTGGACAACCATTTGTCTGAAACGGTACAGAGTTTCCTGCCTGAGCAGGGAGTTGGACGAGAAGATCTCCATGATCCCTTTCAACTCTGTTATTCTGTGCAGTGTAAAACTTTAGAAACAATGAGTGTCTTTTTTCCATTTTGCCCAGTCCCAATCCAAATATCTGAGGCTCACAAGTAGCAAGCTTGAGATCAAAAAGCACCATAACTAGGTTTGTTTGCTTTTCTTATCACTCCCCATGTCTTTTTTCCTGTTATGTCATGTATTTTTGGTTGTAGATCTGTCTCTTTTAAAAAAATACAGTACATAGACAATACATGTATTCAGTAAGTATTATTTTAACCATTTTCAGAAAATTGGAGATCTGAAATTCAGTTTTGGAAACCATCCGGTACTACTAAATATTGGGATAAAAAAAATAAAATAAACTGAGTATCAGTTTAGATATTGTTTATTAATTTTTAAAAGCTGTGTAAATTGCTCCATTTGTCATTGGATCCCTATTCTAATTTGCTGGCTTAATTTAATCCATTTTAAGAATTTGCTGTGTTGTATTTTAAATAGTATGAGAACTGTATTCTTCTTGAGAAACTTTTAATTGAAAAATTCCTTTTTCAGTTGGTAGTAACAATGATAAATTCTTTGATGCTTACTAATTATATATTTTATTTTGAAAGTATCGTTGTTTTTATTTGACTTGTTGAGCACTTCCATGTGATGAAAAAGTGATCTACAAACATTAATCAGAAAAAAATACTTGCCCTAGAAAGAAACAAAAGTTTTAATGACTGTATCTCATGTTCCAGAATTTCAGCAAGTTTCTTTATCCTGCATTCTGGATCAAGCTCTGACTTCAAGTGACTTAGATCTGATCTGGCTTGGTCCAAAAAGGAATGAACTGCTGTATATAAATGTGGGGTACCACCACCCAGAGGCAAGATTGAATGCTATGTGGGGCTTGTCACTCTACAGAACTGGTGTGCAAAATACCACTTGGTTTACCTGTCATTGGAATGGCCTGTCAGGAAACCCACATATGCTCCCAACCAGGATTCGTAAGTGTTATAATTCTAAAAGCTATTAATAATAAAAAGTTGTTACAGTATTGACTGTTCTCCCTAGTTCCCGCCATCCCTCACTTTGAACATCCACCATTTGTCATCCATTTGAGAAGTCTGCTCTAGAAACAGTAGGTAGGAAATTCATCTTTTATTTTGTATTCAAAATGCTATGTATCGTTCGTTGATGATGCATAAATCCAGGATGAAAAGAATCTAGGTAGCACAGCTTATCAGGTAACAGTATGGCCTTCAAATTAGTCACTGGTGTCCAAAAAATGTGGTAGATATCCTACTAGACAAGAAAGAAGAGAAAGAAGACCCAGCATGATATAGTAATTACACTGATTGACTGGGACCAAGGAGAGCCAGGTTAAAATCTTCCCTCAGCCACAGAATCTAGCTAAGCTGCCTTGGGGCCAATCAGTCTCTCTTCCTACCCAGCCCAGCCTCCCAGGGCTGATTTTAATGGAGAAAACTTAAATATCTGTATGTCGTCTCCTGGAAGAAAGGTATATTTAACAATAAAATATATACATATGGAAGAAGAATAATTGTGATAATTGCTTAGATGGTATTATTCTTATGGACAACATCCTGTACAAACTAAGAATATACCCCATAATACTTTGCCTTTCGATCTGCAAGGCAGAATCCTCAAGTCCTTTGACAGTGGATGGTTAAAGGATAAGGCGACCATGATAGTCTAACATATGCATAAGAGACCACTTAAGGAAAAATAATAAGAGGGATAGAAGAGAAAAATGTGGGGCTGGGAAAAAAGTAATTTTCTGGGATGAAAAAAGAGTGGGCTAGGTAAATAATAACGACATCTGCCTCTTGAGAAGGATTAGATGGATAAAAATGCCAAATCCTATCTAAACATCTAGCTGATTGTGGAGGAAGCATAATAATAATTCATTAAATTTATACGCCACCCATCTCCCAATGAATCTGGTTTACCCCAGTGGCCCCCAACCTTTTGGGCACCAGGCACCTGTTGTGGAGAGAGGTTTTTTCCGTGGACTGGAGGGGGCTTGGTTTCGTGTACTATCTTCATCCTGTGTGTGGGATTTGGCTTGTTTGTGCAGCCTGGTTTCTGGCATGCCATAGCTCAGTGCTGGTCCACAGACCAGGAGTTGGGGACCTCTGGTTTACCTGAAGCTATTTTTTCAGGTGGAAATGACTCTGACAACCTCCAAGAGAAAATGAAAACATATGAGAAAAAAGGCTATGAAGATCGTGATGGTCATTTTTCAGATGGAAACAGCTCTTTCCCTTATGTCAGGCACCAGGAACCAGAACAACACCGTGAGTTAATCAGAGTTGCTTCTTTATTATTGCTTAGCTGCGGTATTTACAAGGGAACAGCCGGATGAAGGCTTCAGGAATTCCAAGGTAGAATGATGGTGATAGTGGTCTCCGTTGATTCCTTCTCTGCAAGGACTCCAAGCTCCCCAGTCTTTTTACTCCTCGCCCCACTCTAGCTGGAGATTCCACCACCCTTGAGGCCGAATCAGAACTGACTTCCATTTTTCATTGGGGTGGGGTGGGGTGGGGTGGGGTGAGTAATTTTTCTATTACCATACGGGCAAGGCAATGACTAAAATGAATAGGGAAGAAGTATAAATTTGTATGGGAAAGAGTGTGAGTAAGGGGATTACGAATGCATCTTTGGTAGGATGTAGGTTGTAACCCATCAATCTAGATCAGGGGTCTTCAAACTTGTCTGTTTTATGACTTGTGGACTTCAACTCCCAGAATCCTCAGCCAGCGTGGCTGAGGAATTCTGGGAGTTGAAGTCCACAAATCATAAAAGGGCCAAGTTTGAACACCCCTGATCTAGATGATGGTTACTTTTTTTTTCAACCAAAATCCTTTAGTTGTGTTAGGCTATACTTTCCACTATCTGCAACATATAGAACTATCATGGAATGAATCTTACAAATATTTTAAGTTCATTTTTTTAAATTGAAAATTAAAGCTTCTTTAAAACAGAATCATTACTCTTTAAATTTCTGAGCTGTCTGAAGTGTAGCCAAAATGCACCTAAGCTTTAAAACATCTTCAAATTTCATAAGTGAAATTAATGTAAAAATTATGCTTCAGCTTAACTTATTATTAGTAAGTTTTTTTCTGCAGAGCACCAGGAAGACTTGCCTCATTCAGCAATGGATCCCAAATATTTTTCTTGTGATGCCCCAGTGCACAGAAACTGGACAGATGGAACACTGCTCTGGATTCAGCATGATTCACCAGATCAAAATATAGTTCTGATTAATATGACAATACGGCGTTCCATTCGCTACTCACTAGATATGAATGCTAGTCTTGTTTCGTTGATCCTTCCAAGAGTAACTCTTGAAGATGCTGGGAACTATTCCTGCCACTGGAAAAACCAGACATGCCATTTTCATCTAGAGGTGATAGCAAAGACAGGTGCGACTCTAAGTTAATGAGTGGGAAGAGAAGCTGTGATTGGATATAAGTTATTATAAACTCAGAAATGCTAACAGGTTTATAAAATCCAAATCTATTACAGGTAGTCCTCAATTCACAACAGTTTGTTTAGTGACCGCTCAAAATTGCAACGGCGCTGAAAAAAGCGACTTATGACCGTTTTTTTACAATTACGACCTTTGCAGCATGTGATGAAAATTCAGATGCTCAGCAACTGGTTCATATTTATGACCGCTGCTGTGTCCCGGGGTTATGTGATCATGACCTTTTGCGACCTTCTGATAAGCAAAGTCAATCGGGAAGCCAGATTCGCTTAACAATTGCTTATCAACTGCAGTGATTCACTTAACAACTGAGGCAAGAAAGGTCGTAAAATGGGGCAAAACTCACTTAATAAATGTCTCACATAACAACAGAAATTTTGGGCTCAATTGTGGTTGTAAGTTGAGGACTATCTGTATTTCCAATTTGAAAAAATGATAACTTTGCTTTTGAAAAATTCATATTATAACCCAATAATATTTATTTATAGAAACTATAATCTAGATCTGTGTTTCTCAATCTTTTTTTAAAAAAAATTGGGGCCTTCTTCCAACCTTGTTTTTCTCCTGTAGTGCTACCATCCATACCTCATCCTTTTCTCATTATCAGACACAGACATAGGACAGCATGTGTGTGTTTTCTGTGCAATGTAATATTCTTTGCATATATTATCTGTGTTCACTCAGCAGACGTTGTGTTTCCCAATGACATATTTTTTACTACTGGCCCTCTTGAAATATCTTAGGGTCCTCAGGGGCCCCTGCATATGAGAGAACTGCTGGTCTACATTTAAACAGAGGGTTAAGGGTAATCTATATGATAAAAAAGATCTTCAAGTGGGAGTCCATAGATCAGAGTGGGACATCAACTCTACAGGAAGGCTAATATTACTTTTATTGAGAATCTTGCAATGCTCTTTTTATTTCCCCCACCCCCTCGAGTGAATTAGGAAAGTATCTGCCTGAGCAGATTCCAAATGTTATCTCGTTTTGGACATTAAAAATGCTTCAACTTTTTTGCATAGGAAATGATTTCTGCAAATCTCTGCCAATGTCATTCTCCTTACACCATATACCAGTGTTTCTCAACCTAGGTTGCCAAGGTTGAGAAACATTGCTATATACAGTAATCTAGTCATATTTTCCAATTAGCACCATATGTACATTTGTTGCCTTATTGTGCAGATAGGTAACAAGCTATGAATAACAGTGTAGTATTCTATGCTTGGATTTTTTACTAGCATTGACTGTTTCATCAGGAGCTGAAAAATTGATAATAGCTTTTAAGCCTAACGTCCAGCCCTGAAGACAGGAGACTTAGTTTGAAAAATTAACATTCAAAATGCTCAGTGCCTAATGTTTATTTACACTGTGCAAATGTAATATGAAAACATGCTAAAAATTGTGATGGGCAACAGATTCAACCAGTATTTGATTTTTTTTTTAAAAAAGTACCGTTATATTTAATACAAGTGCTTATTAAAAACTAGAAAGGGCATAGCAGGCGCTGTCTTAGAAAACACATCTTCTTTTCTTTCAAATGGAGGGAATACAAATTGATTTATCGTCAAGCATATATATTTGAATTTATTTGTTGCAGTTTTTATTTAATGTTAATATTATCAATATATTATTTACTACATATGTGCATTATCTGTAGAAAAAATCCTGCTTCTTGCTTTAGAAATATCTTTGAATTGAAGCTTAATAAGGCCTAATCGTATCTTTTTCTTCCTTCCCTTGCATCCCATTAAAAGTTGTTCAGTACTGGATGATTTGGTCTGTAGCGCTGGGATATATGATTGTTTGCCTTGGCTCTGTTTTTTGTTTTCTAACGCTCCGGCAAGGTACGTATCTTTACATTCAGAAAATTAATGAAAGAAATGTATGGTTAAATATTTCCTGTAAGTTATTTTGCTAGAGGAGATCAACCCCGACTGCTCTTTAGAAGGCCAGATCCTGAAGTTGAAACTCAAGTACTTTGGCCACCTAATGAGAAGGACTGGAGAAGAGCCTAATGCTGGGAAAGATTGAGGGCAATAGAAGGAGGGGACGACAGAGAATGAGGTGGCTGGATGGAGTCACTGAAGCAGTAGGCGTATGCTTAAATTGACTCCAGAAGATGGCAGAGGACAGGAAGGCCTGGAGGAACGTTGTCCATGGGGTTGCGATGGGTTGGACATGACTTCGCAACTAAAAACAAAATTTTGCTATCTCCGATGGGTTAAATCTAATAGGCTAATGAAATCTAATGCCTCCAATATAGATAGTGACAATATTTCTTCCCATTTGGATGTAGCTAGTCCTTGATTTACGACCACAACTGGAACCAGATTTTTCATGTTTAAGCAAAGCAGTTATTAAGTCAATCCCAATTTTACAGCCTTTTTTGACACAACGTTAAGCGAATTATTGTAATTATTCAATGGATCACAAGGTTATTAAGTAAATCCAGCTTCCCCCGTAGAATAGAATAGAATAGAATAGAATAGAATAGAATAGAATAGAATAGAATAGAATAGAATAGAACTGTAAGGGACCTTGGAGGCCTTCTAGTCCAGCCCCCTGCTCAAGCAGGAGACCCTATACCATCTTAGACAAGTGACTGTCTAGCGCCTCTTCTTAAAAATCTCCAGTGATGGAGCTCCCACAATTTCTGGAGCAAGCTGCTCCACTGGTTAATTGTGCTCACTGTCAGGAAGTTTTTCCTTAATTCCAGGTTGCTTCTCTCTTTGGTCAGTTTCCAACTATTGTTTCTTGTCCTGCCCTCTGGTGCTTTGGAGAATAACATGACCCCTTCTTCTTGGTGGCAGCCCCTCAAATACTGGAATATTGTTGTCATGTCTCCCCTATTTCTTCTTTTCTTTAGACTAACCAAACCCAAGTCCTGCAGCTGTTCTTCGTATGTCTTAGTCTCCAGGCCTTTGATCATCTTAGTAGCTCTTCTCTAAATTTTTTCCAAACTTGACATCTTTTTTGTGATATGGTGACCAAAATTGGCTGCAGTATTCAGGTGTGGTCTTACTAGAGTTTTATAAAGCGGTACTAATACCTCGTGTGATCTTGATTCTATGCCTCTGTTTATACAACCCAGGATTGTATTAGCTTTTTTGGCTGCTACTGCACACTGCTCGCTCATAGTTAAGTGATTGTCCACTAGGACTCCAAGGTCCCTCTCACAGTTACTGTTTTTAAGCCAGGTCTCGACCAATCTATACTTGTATCTTTGATTTTTCCTGCCTAAATGTAAAACTTTGCTTTTCTCCACATTGAAACTCATTTTGTTGGATAGGGCTTGATTTTGCTTGTCAGAAGCAGGCTGGAAGATTGCAACTGATGGTCACATGATCTCACTACAATCAATGCAATTCTGGACTTTTATTTGGATACTTGAGCTGCAGGTTGACATTATGCTAGTTACCATGACCTTAGGGATACTGCAGTGATCATAAAATCTAGAACAGGCCATAAATCACTTTTTTTAAAGTGCCGTTGTAACTTCAAACAGTTGTTGAATGAATGGTTGTAAATCAAGGACTACCTGTATTACTTTTAAAATTTACATGGCTTGAGAGAATGCTCTATGAGTCCTCCTTGGTTGAGATTATTTGAGATTAATCCCTTTGCAATGCTTCACAGGAACCTAGCTTGATTCTTCTCCATAGTCCCATTCATTATTTGGGAATAACTTTCTGGTAAACTGAGGTTCCCGATAGGCCTTTTTGACTGTTGTTTTAAATGTTTTTAATATCCTGAGCTCTAATTTTGATGTTTTGTTATAGAATTCTGAGAGACCTCATTAAAAGATTATATTTTAGGCTGAATAAAATAACTGAAGAAATAACATCATATTAACTTTGGAGGCATTATAAGCTGTGAGGTTTCCTTTATTTGTGACAACCATCCCATCTTATAATAGAGCTAGTTTGGTCTTGTGGTTTAAGCACCAGTCCAGAAATGGGAAGACTATGAATTTCATACCTTAGGCATAGAAGCCAGCTGGGTGACTTTGGGCCAATTACTCTCTCTTAGCCTAACCCACCTTGCAGGCTTGTTGTTGTGGGGAAAATAGGAGGAGGAAGGAGTATTAAACCTCCACTTGCTTTTTACTAAGAGCACATACTGCCCCTTCTAGCTCTGTTTTTACTGTTCCTCTTCCAAATGAATTGACCCCTCCCAGTTTATTATTTATCTGCCAGGAACTATTGATAGTTTCTTCTGATTGGATTTATGGTTATTCCTTAAGAGTTGCAGGTTGGTCATTAAGAATACCAAGTAACAAAGAGGCTCTCATGAACCACTGGAAATGATCTGCATTATTTATCTTTTGTTGTTGTTGTTGTTGCTGTTGTTAGTGCAAATTATAGACAGTGGGGAAGGCAGGACCACAGAAGAGGAGGCATAAAAGCTTAGCACCCCTTAGCCAATTTTATGTCCTAAAGTAGAAGTGAATTGCATTTACTGTATGTGACTCAATATAGTGTAGGATGGGTCCCTTTTTCAGAGCAAACTTTATCAAGTTATAATATATATGTGTGTTCATATATTTGTGTTTGAGAAAGAGAATTAATGGAGAATAAATGGATGAAGAAGAAGTTTTGATCCACTTTTGACTCTTTCCCTGAACGTTGCATGCAGCCGCCCAATTTATTTTTCCTGGAATATGAAATCTTCAGGTAATTTTTATCCTCTTTGACACACTAGTGCCTTGTTTCTCATCCTCAGCAACTTTAAGATGTTGCTGACTGAGGAATTCTGTAGTTGAAGTCCATACATTTTATAGTTACTGAGATTGAGACACACCATACTAGTGTGCCAAAATTGCTGCAGTGAAGAAAATCCATTATATGAAATGCTCTCTGTCCACCTTTCTTCTTTCAGTCAATCGAGCTCGCAGAAAACAAAAGAAGTTGATGAGTCATAATGGGAGGCAAGTACTTATGATATAACAGAGTGCAAGAAAGTAGTGGGAATTGTGCACCAAATTTGGAGAACAATGTACAAGAGAAACTTGTAGCCTCTACAAGATAGGCCTGGCAAAGGGGTAACAGGAGGGAATAGATAAGATAAATGAAGGAATAACTTCATATTAACTTTAGAGGCAAAGAGCGAGCATCTGGTGGTAAAATTCCAGATGTTTTGTAGACTTGAAATTCTAAAGCATAAATGCTTAAACTGTGTAGTATCTGGCTCTGAAAATTTGGCATGCAGAAAAAAAATCAAAAGTGTTTAGCAGATTAGAATTTTTAGCATGGCAGACGAAAGAAATGATTAAATACATGCCTAGATAAGCTGTATGTCAATTAAATTAAATTAAGGCCCTCAATTTAAATTAGATTAAATTCAGTCCTTGGCATGTTCATCTCCTCTTTCTTGGAAAGTCATGCTACAAGCACAGTACTCAGGGTCAAGTCTGATCTTCAACCCAGAATAAGAGATGGATCTTTGCCCCAGATCAATCTTTCCCAAATCTGGTGGCCTCCAATTTTCTGAGGGAACAGTTGCTAGAAATAGTTCTTCTTTGATTATATGTATAGCCGATTTATTAAAATTAGTCTATGTTTATTGGAGATTCCTTAATTTTATAAATCTCATTAATACAGTAAGATACTTTTAGGTTCTGAATTAAATGGTTTTGATGAGTCTGGGGAGAGGAGAGAGATTTCTAGGTTGATACTATGTATTTCTCAACTCCATGCTGCATATAAGGATCCAATAAGGATCCCAGATATTTTCCCTGACCCTAACCTTCCCCTAATGGCCCAAGTGATAATTGTTAGCCGATATAGTATTCTAATCGACTATTTGAAGCTTATGAGTGATAACCACAATTGTCCTCCCAAAAAGGCTCACACTGTGGAGCATTTGATGTCCAAAAGAGAACATTACCGTCATCTCTGTGCCCCGACAAAGCAACATGTGTTCAACTCAGATCTTGATGTCATTCATATTTTATATGTCTCTCATTTTCAGAAGATATTTTTATGCCAAACGGAACAAAAGATCTAATAGGATTATGGTATGCCCAGGAAATGATGATGGTGAGTTAATTAGGACCTTTCTCCATTCATAAAATTCTTCCTCATGAATATGCTAATGCGCATTTTCCCACTACTTGAATTGGCAGAAAGATATGCTAGTGAAAGTTGCTTTAGGAATGTGGCAAAACACTGATGTTGTCCTTACAGATTTAATGCAGGACAAATTAAGGAAAGTAATTGGCAGATCTTCTGGCTCCAACAAAGCATTATCTACACTAGGAAAATCATCTCCCTAACATGGGCTTGGGTTGGAGTTGAAGAGAAGATGATTTGACGTGTAGCAAATGTGCTTTGTTTCACGCAAGTATGTTGTGTGGCACACTTTTGGGGCATAAGTTTAGCATTATTCTGAATTAGTGTTGTTGTAGAAGGTTGTTTATTGTGAAAGAAGTTTCCCTATTTTGGAACAATGCTAAACTCATAAGAAACTTGAAACATCCAATTATGAGGAAAGGTTGCAAGATGAAGTAGGAAAGAGCTCTCTATTGCACCAAACAATGTCTCTCTTAGACATGCCCGCTCTATTTATCGGTGATAAAAAAAATGACATTTTGAGAAGAACTCATTGGATACCACCAAAGGTAGGTTCAGAAGGAAATTGTGCTGAACGGAACAGGATGAAATGCCAGACCCACCCATCATCTTTGTATTTTTGTATGTGTGTGTTTGTGAGGACATGCATGTATGCACACAAGATGTTTTCCCATACGTTGATGTACTTTTCTTGATATCATATTGAAAATTTGAAACTGAGGCAACCTTGCGGTCAAGTTGCCCAGGTCTTTGCTATTGAAGCTGGGGGTAGTCTTAACTGCAGACTCCTGACTGCACAGCTGTTTTCACTGCTTCCTTTTCCTTGCAGGAAGGAAAGCAGGGAGAAGTAGCTTTTAAGCAGGCCCTCTTCGGCAGGAAGTGAGTCCTGGGTGCTGGGAGAATTGTTCTGTTCCCCCTAATTCCCCTATTACCTAAGAGAATGGCCCCTTTCCTGCCATTTCTCAAATCCCATGAAGCTATCACTCCATGAAGTCAGAGAACTGACAGCAGCAACTTGTGGGTTTTCAACTGCCAAGTACTAACCTCAAAGGAGGTGCGCCCTCCACCTTGCCTCTTTCCTCTCTCTTTGCTTCATGTGCAGACAGAACCCCTGTTCTTCATGCTGAGTTAGAATAGAGAGAGACTGGAAGTGCAGCCAGTAATTCTTTAATCTAGTATACATTTCTGCCATCATATGTCATGCAGACATATAGAATAGAATAGAATAGAATAGAATAGAATAGAATAGAATAGAATAGAATAGAATAGAATAGAATAGAATAGAATAGAATAGCTTTATTTGGCCAAGTGTGGAATTTGTCTCCAGTACAGAAACTCCCAGTGTACATGGAAAATAACAGAATCATAATCATAATATGACAGCATTTGACTGCTGCTGCTGGGTTTGGAAGCGACATCATGAATGAGGCAGCCTTGCAGCAGCAGTGTTTATTCTTTGGGAGATGATGACATAGAATAATAGGATTTGGAGGGACCTTGGACATAAATGGCTACCCAATCTCTTCTCTAAAAACTCCAATGAGAGAGCACCCACAACTTCTGGAGGCAAGCCATTCCATTGATTGATTGTTCCCACTGTCTGGAAAATTCTCCTTGCTTCTCTGTTTAATGATCTTCCACTCATTACTTCTTGTCTTGCCCTCAAGTGCTTTGGGTAATAGGTTGACCTCCTTTTCTTTGTGAGGGTAATGTAATAAGGGTAATGCCTTTATATAATTTCTGGAATATTCTTTTTTTTTGTAAAAAAAAATTATTTTCAATTTTACATTACATCATAAAAAATACTTCAGATAAAGAGTAAAATAAATTTATACACACAACTTTCGGTATTGCTCACCCATTTCCCCCCAAACCGCATCCACCCTCTAACCTCTTCTCTCACTTCCCTCTTTCCCTCTTCTTCTTCACTCTCCCCCTCTCCTCCTCCTCCTCAACCTTCCTACTTACTTCTCCCCTTCCTCCTATCTTCTCATTCCGGATGCAGTAATTTCTGGAATATTCTTATAGACAAAAAAAGAAAATTTTAAAAATAGAATATAGTGTGAAGCAAATGCCAAGTCTTGTAGCATCTTGAAAGACTACAATTTTCTTAATGGCACAAGAAAGTGCACACTCAATTGATTATGCATCTTCTATCTTTATTTGGCTTTAAGATACCCTCTTTCAGAAGAAATAATTTGATACCATGTGCTTCTTGTCTCTTAAGTCACAGAGCAAGTGGATGCTTATGAAAATGTGCGGCCAGATGTGGGTGCACAACGTGGTCAAAAGTTACTGCAGAAAGGAAAAATCTTGCCCAATACCCTCAAGATGGAAGGTAAGTACAGATAGACAGGGCATAGCGTTAGGTACTGTGTGTGCAATTTGTAATAGGGGAAGTGCCAATAATAAAAATGGTGTAAAGAGCAAAGACTGATTATGACTGGAGTAATGGTACAGTAATAGCAAATAATATTATATGATCAGGTAAGGTACCATTCTAAACATCACACTTACGCTCTCTCTTTTTTATGATCCTGTAATCCCTTGATTTAGGACGGTGTCAGGGTGACTGGGTGGAGCTGAGCATTTACTGCCCTTCCTTACATCTACGTGGAGTTTGCAGCAGATATTTTCTTTTTGCTTCCTGAGAGACATCAGTCTTTATCTACATCCTATGAATTGCTTTTAAAAATTTGACTTTGATGAGGGTGAAGGTTCATTACCAGGATAAGTAACATCTTCAGTGAAGTTTAGGCAGGGTGGGATTCAAATACCTGAACAACCAGTTCTCTGCATGGAGACCATTTCTGGAAGTCCATTCTGGGACTTCCAGAAGTGGCGCCCATGCACTTCTGGTGGGCTGTTCTGGGGCTGGGAGGCTTCCGTGGCTCAGAACGGATTTCCAGAAGCGGCATCCATGCACTTCCGGCAGTCTGTTCTGGGTCTTGTGAAAAAGGGCTAGGCTTCAGCCAGTTTGCCGAAGTCAACCAAAAGTTAGCTACCAGTTCTACCGAACCAGTGTGAACCAGCTGAATCCCACCACTGATTTTAGGAGATATTAGTGTTCTTCTGTTTATATGGGGTTCAGGTGTGGGTATGTGAAGTGAGGGTCTTTGATAGATCTTGTGATGGGTCAGGTGTGAGTCATCGGGGAGTCTTGTGATGAGTCTTGGGGAAGTTACATCAGGTCAGGGTCATTTGGGAGGTGAACTGCTGAGAGGAGGGGCTTGCATGGGTCGGTTGAGGGTCAGTGCTGCCTCTGGTTGGCTGTGTGGTTGATTTGGATTCCAAGGGGTTTGTAGGCTGGTTGTAGGTCAATGTGTCTGTTGATGGAATTGCTTGTGAAGTGCCAGGCTTCGATGAACTCACAAGCATGGTGGCTGGTAGCATGGCCAATGATTTTTGTGTTGCTCCAATCGAACTGATACTGTTTGGTGTCGGTGTGGGTAGAGATTAAAGATTTGGGATCGTGGCGTTTGACTCCAGCTGGTGTTTGTGAATCCTGGTTTTTAATTGATGTGATGTTTGTCCCACATAGAATTGATTGCATCCTACACCCGAGCTACAGATGCTCGCCACTGTTGCAAATTGGCTTTTAGTTGCTAGTGGTTTAATTTTGGTTTAATTTCTGAGGGTGTGAAGTCAATGATGCAAAGCACTGGAGAGGAATCTCCAGCTCAAGAGTTCTGAAAAAGTAAATTCTTTCAGAGGTGAGGTTATCAATGAGATAGTTCAGATAAATAGGCAGAATAGGATACAGTTTTTAACAGCCCAATCCAGTCTTACTGCATAAACAAGGGTCTGTAATGGACAAGGCTGCAATTTATGATGTTTAGACATGTTCTAAATGTTCCTACAATATCTTTTCCTGTTGTTGTAAAGCAACATTGCAGTCATAGTCACCTGTGACTAGTAAGGCTTCCTTAAATGAAGGCAGGATGCAAAAAGAAAAAAAAATCAGCACAGGAAATGGGTAAAGCTGTTTAAAAACTCAAGAAAAGAGGCCCTCCGCCTTTCATGGGGCACCTGCCTTTGCCATTCATAACAACAAACAACAAGACTTGGTCGACTCTGATAACCTCAGAAATGTTGGTGTGAATTTCTCAGAGAATGTTTGACACTGTATTCCTCAGAACCATAGGGTTCTTCAAGAACTTGATAGAATTCTATGAGAGACTAATGGCAAAAAAGAAAAAAAATACCAGACCACATTATGCTCATGATGACCCATAAAAAAAATTAAGCTGGCCATTTTGTGGATCCTTCTTCTCCTCCTTCTCCTTTTCTTCCTCCTCCTCCTTCTCTGTCTCCTTCTCCTCTCCCAAGTTCTGCATCTTTACAAGGTTAAAAAAAAAAACCTTATAATCACTAACAGCAATAGTAAATCTGGTAGTTACACAGAATAACTTCATGCATTGTGCCACCAGTAGTGTTAATAGCATGCTTTGTGCAACAAGTTGGTTCAGCTAGGCAACTTTTTGATACAAGCAACACAGATGAGGATGGAGGAAGGAAATAAGTTTAACTCTTCCTCTTTTTGCATGATTAGACAAAGAGTTATTTCATTGTGAGTGATTTACAGTAACTTCTACAGTTGACTAATCAATGTGCCAAACTAAAAAGGAAAAGAGACTTTATATCTGTTTCATTTTAAAATACAACTTTTCACAAACTTCCATGCCTGCTTGCTACCAGATAAGCTATTTTTTTAATCATATAGAACAGTGTTTCTCAACCTTGGCAACTTTAAGATGGTTGGACTTCAATTCCCAGAATTGAATGCCAGCTGGGGAACTCTGGGAGTTGAAATCCACACATTTTAAAGTTGCCGAGGTTAAGAAACACTCATAGGGAATGGTTCTTTAATGTGAAAGAGCATTTAACATTTAAAGTAAGTTTTTCTTACTTTAGTTCAAAGTGGTATAAACCAAGAAGCAAAAAAGCTTGTAAAAATCAGATGTGATCATATGATGACTTGCTTAACAACAGCACACTTAACAATAAACTTTCCAGTCCCTATTGTGGTCATAAGTCAAGGACTACCTGTAGTATCATGCAGTCCATTGTTAATGTAGGAGGTCAGTGCCTTAAAAAGAGCATTCTCAACCAATCATGAGCCACTATATTATTTAGTGAATCAATTAGTGTGACTCCTTTCCATGAAGGGAATCAAATACCATCACAAGTACACAAATAATAAAAGTATTTGTGATTGACAGATGTTTCGGACAGCTCTCCCACTTGTGGCTTTGCTCCCTGCTATGTGCAAGTGTGATGGGCGTCCCCCTGCAAGTCGAGGGGGATGTGACTTGAGTTCTGAGAAGCCATGCGTTATGTCATTCAGAGAAAGCTAGTCCAAGAATTGTGCATAACTGTTTCTTCCTTTTCTTCCGGCCAGATGAAGAAGAATATGAATGCCCTGATAGTGAAACCGAGTTGAAGTCAGATGGTAAAATGGGTCAGGTTGGGGGTGGGGGGTGGGGCAGCATGAGATGGAAAAGGAAATTATAGGTCAATAGTTGGCTCTCAAGCCCTAGACACAGGGTGACCACCACATGTACAGTCAACTGAGAGCTTAATCTCTTAACTGAAAAAATTACTCTCTTGAGATATATAGGGTTGGATGTGGGGAAGGTTGGAATCATCTGCTATGGTCATCATAATATGATTTTTCTTTGGGGCAATGCCAAATGAGTCAATGAATAAACCATGATTTGCTTTATATTAGGAAATGCCATGAGATCTTACCCGGTTGTGAATTTAGTTATGGTTGGCATCAATTTACCTAGGAGGGCACTCCAGTGGTGCAGTGTTCTGAGAAACTGAACTCAACATTTCATTGTTAAAATATAATATATGCAGCTATAGGTAAAACCAAAAAAAAAAAACAAAAAACAACCTCCCACCTAAAAACAAAAGGAAACCACAGCTCCTGATCAAGCTTTAAATTGGGCAGCCTCATAGTAGAATGTGGAAGAGGAAAATACTACCGGTAATGAAAGTGAAGAAAAAAAAGGGGGTGCAAAATGGCAGTCACTACCATGGGACCCAGTGACAAATTGCTCCATTTTGCTACCTTAACAAAGTCTGCACTGTGCTATGAAAAACTACTGAAAGCTACAGAAAAGTTCTGAAAGCTGCAGAAAGCTTCTGCAGCCAACTGTATTAAGGCAGCAAAATGGAGCCGTCTGCTCCATGGCTGCCATCTTGTCCCCCTGGATGAGGGCAGTGATAGCTAAATCTGGTCCTAGGTTCTGCCTCAGTTTATCTTCCCAATAAATAACGAGTTGGAAGATCATTTAAAAGCAGTTTATTAGGGTAGCCTAATAAAGTGGGATCTCCCTATGAAAAGGGAGAACCTCAGATCCATTTTTCATTCCTTTTTATAGTTAACACAACAAAGAAAAATGAAAGAGGAAAGTTGGTTGGACAAGATAAGAGTTACCCCTTCTTGCACAGTAAATCAACTACAAAGTTATCTAATCAATCCTTACAACCCTAGGATAAAAGTTTTCCTACATTCTAGTCTGCACTGAACTTGAATATCATTTTAAAAGAGAAAATAAGTCAAATTAAAATACAAAATATCTATGTTAGTTAACAAATTACAAAATTCATGTCATGTGCCCCTCAGGAGAAAGATAGGAGGTTTGCAGTGTCCCTCTGATCAGTCCTAAGGGTGAATGACCACAGGGTGCTGCAATAGCCATAACTCTGAAATGGGGTCATAATGTAATTTTGGGGGGGATTTGTCATCAGTTCAAACTACAGTTAGGTGACCAGTCATATCTCAAGGACTTCTTGTAACCTTTTTCCTCTTGTTTGGTTCTGCTTCAGATGATGAACATTATGAAAATGCTCAAGAAGAAGTGAAATCAGGAGATGTAACTTTGAATGGTAAACTAATTTCTCTTACAAGTTTTGCTTTCTTAATGTAAGCACATAAGATTGTTTCATTGATTTGGTGAAGTGAGCTGATGAACTTCTCAGGGGCAACTGCAGAAAGTTTAAAAAAAGTCAAGATGCTGGTCATGACCGTGGGGTCCAGATGTCCTTCTTGATTTGCTTGACCATCCTGTACAGATCCCCCCTAGACCCTCTTTCTTCGGCAGCTCTTTGAATGAATAAGGTTGCCTGGGGAGGAGCAAAATCCTATTCGATCTGTGGGCAGAGTAAAAAAAATGGTTAAGGGTAGCTTAAAAACAAATACTGAAGGAGAATATTAAACATTCAGTTGTGGTGTGTATGAGAGGGGGAATTCTGAATCTTGTACAGATAGTCCTCGACGTATAACCATTCATTTAATGACCATTCAAAATGCCACTGAAAAAAAATGACTTACAACTGATCCTCAGTATGACTATTGTAGCATCCCCACAGTCATAAGATTCAAATTTGAGTGCTTGGAAATCAATATATATTTATCATGGTTGCAGTGATTCTAGATCATGTGATCACCATGTGTGACCTTCCCAACTGGCTTCAAAGTCAATTGGAGGAAACAAAATCAATGGGGAAGCCAGAGTCACACAACAACTGCATGATTCACTTAACAACTGTAGTGATTCATTTAACAGTTTGAGGCCAAAAATGTAAAATTGGATATTATCCACTTAACATTCATCTTGATTATCAACCAAAATTCTGGTCCCAATTATAGTCATAAGTCAAGGACCTGTATACCAAACTCTCTCAGATGTTTATCCACGACATGAGAATGGAAAGGTGCAGGTAGAAACAAAATACATAAACACCAGCCTTTTAATCTCTAATTCCTTCTATAGGCCTTCAGCCTGTTTATCTGAAATATGACGCCCCTTGTCTGAATAGAACAAGCTGGACAGGGAGCTTATCTGTACTTGAAGCAAAGATACAGAGATACAGAGGTGGATTCAGACCCACAGATTGGAAAACCTTGATCTGGAAGAATGGATTAATAATGGATTCCTATTAAGGGGGCGACACCTTGGGAAGAAAAGTTTATTAACTTCACAGATTAATTGGCTTGGCTTCTCCGCCAATGGAAATGCTACCTTATTTTGCCTCCAGGAATCCCGCTCTTTTTCCAGCTATTCCACTATCTGTCATCCCGAATGAGTATAGAAGCAGATTTGCTAAAGTGGGTTGGGTCTTTTTCCTTTCCCTTACTGGTAAAAGCAAGAGCAAGAATGGAGAAGACACCAATTCTCTCTTGGTTTTAAAATGCTCCCCCCCCCACTTCCCTAGCTGACTGGAGAAGTACTAGCCAATGCAAGAAAGGGAAGGTTGAAAAAGCTTCTGGGTGCTAGACACCTCTATAAAAATGGAAAATAGAGCAAAGCCGGCACCCATGTGAAAGTGGCCAAAGAAGCTATGGTGTAATCAACAGTGCTTCAAAATTAAAATTCTCCTTTAAGTTGGAATAGTTGGATTGAGGTACAAGCAGTGTTTCTTTATTAAAGTTGAGGACCTATACTCTGAACTCTCTACTCTGAACTGGACTAATGACCAGCCAACATCTTGACTTAAGAAGCCCACTTGCACTCATCCAAATCTAGATACACTGTGTGTTCTGCATGCTTTGTGGCCAGATCTCTCTATCACTACTATTGGCACTTTCCATATGAATGTACTCCAAACTTAGCAACTTCCAGTTCAATGGACTTCAACTCACGGAATTCCCAAAATGGGCCATTCACACAATGGATCAGTGAATGAATCAACCTAGAGTTCTCACTTGAGGCATAAACATCTAGACTCAAATTAGAAACAATAAGCAAGGAACTAGCTCTCTAAAGGTGTATAATGCTGGCTAGGAAAGGTGGAATGAAAGAGAAAAGGATGACCAACAATAATGTGGAAGATCTGAAAGAATAGGTTGGAGACAGATTTGTCCTAGAGAAAATCTATCTATGTGATCAATAAGATCTGACACCAACTTGATGGCATATAAATAATCAAACCATTTTAGAGATAGTGTTTTACAGTCGTTCTTTTCTACTCCATTGCCAGTACCATCCACCTATCTTTCAATATGAGAAAAGCACCAGGATGAAATTTCCTTTCCTTATCAATCCTATTCTGTCCCTAGGGCCTCTCTTTCAGATCACTAAGAGAGTAATTGGCTTGATTCCCCTCCTAGGAAATGGGTAACAAAATGTAATAGAACTTACATGCCTTGAGGATACCCTTACTGTAGATGGTGTTAGAGTAACGGGGAAAATAATATTTTAATATCAGTCAGCAAAAGATCCTTATGCATGACTCATTCATAGACTGTTGATAAGATGAAGGTCTCATCACAAGGACACAATAGAAAACACTTATTGCCAGAGCAAGTTTGTGCCTTGGTGAGGTACAAGTGGAGAAATCCTTCAAACCATTGCTACAAGAGTGGTCCACAGCTCCTCAAGATCTCAGAAATAGGACCCACCCTTCTTCCCCAGATATGTTTCATAAACACTATGCAAAGCAATAACAACCATCCTTACTTCCTCTATTTTTTAAATGACAGCTGTTCTTTCTTCTATCATAGATGTGCTCATTTATGAAAATAAGAAGGACAAGGTGAAGTTTGATCTTCGCAATGGGAACTTAGGTACTTGAGAAGTATATGACGGTCTTGACAGAAGGGGGAATGCAGGTGTCATGATAAGATCCTGGTAGAATATTCTTAATTATTGCTTTCTTATGTCCCACAGATGACTCATGGTATTCCAACAAAACTGAACAGATCCTTGAGAATTTGACTCAAGACCAAGACCCCATTGTTGAAGGTAGTGTCTGGATTTGATATGGAAGTTGAAAGCACAAGCATAACACTGATATAGATCAGGTTTTCTGAAAGTTGTCAATTTTAAGATGTGGAGAATTCAGTTCCCCAAATTCTCAAGTCAGCACACTGAAGGGGAAATTCTGGGAGCTGAAGTCCATAAATCTTAATGTTGCCAAGGTTGACCAATTTAATATACACGAAAGCCAACTGAGTTTCTGAAACTGGTGTTCTTCATGTGTTGAAACGTATCTTTACACATACCCAGGCGTTTTAGCTACAGGAAATGTGAAGTGTACTGTACCGCAACACCATGTTAGTTGGGATCAGCTAGCAGTACATCAAAAGTGGTTTTTATATTTGAAACGGCAACTTGACTGATTTTTTTGAGGAAAAAGAGGACACACAAACTTTCCATTCTCCCATCACCACCTATCTTACGGCTTTAGTTATTTATTATTATTAAATTGATATGCCGCCCATCTCATTATCAAGCGACCCTGAATGACTTATGAGAACTTTAAGGGTATTTCTCACCATAAAAACTGACTACATAAGATGCTGACAAAGTTATTTAACCACGGGGCTGCTGGTGATAATCTACTGTATTTACTCAACAGACAATGAAAACTATATAAATTTGGAAGAAGAGTGTCCTATGAATTCTGGTACAGCACGACTCATTGCAGGTACTAAATAGACACTGAAAAAAAAATCCAAGTCAGGAATGAGTTATCTCCAAATGCAGGACATGTCTCCATCTTCTCAGCAAAAGCCAATCTGTTTCTAGAAGGTCTATTTATTAATATTATTACAGCAGTGATGGGATTCAGATATGTGAACAACCGGTTCTCTGTGTGGATGCTGCTTCTGGAAGTCCATTATGGGCCTGGGCAACAAAAAATTAGCTACCAGTTCGGCTGAACTAGTGTGAATTGGCTGAATCCCACCACTGTATTACAGATAGTCTTCAACCTATAACCACAATGGGACCAAAATTTCCATTGCTAAGCAAGGCACTTGCTCAATGAGTCACACCCAATTGATGACCATTTTTGCAGTTAAGCAGATCACTACAGTAAATCACATAAGCAAATCCAGCTTCCCTCATTGACTTTGCTGATCAGAAGCTGGCTGGGAAAGACTCAGATAGCCATCCCATGACCCCCAGCACTCTGGAACTGTTATAAATACATGTTGCTTGCCTAATGCCTGAATTTTGATCATGTGGCTGTAGAGTGGTGATGCAGTGGTCATAAGTTTGAGGACCAGTTGTAAGTTACTTTTTTCAGAGTCATTGCAACTTCAAATGGCCGCTAAACAAATAGTTGTAAGTTGGGGGCTTCCTCTGGTACTAATAATGCCTAAATTTTATCTGGCTTTTCCTCCACAGAACTTAAAGTATGTTAGCTATTCTCCTCCACTCATACATCTCCACCACGGTTCTGCAAGGTAGATTAAAGTGAAAAATAGGAACTAGATTATGATAGTGAGTTTCTGGGATCTATAGAGTAAATTCTCTGGGATTACATTATTCCAGAGTACCAATCTCAACCCATATATATAATACCACCTTAGATTTATCATACTACTCAAACTATAATGGCACACTCGAAGTAGAAAATAAGTGGATAAACAGAAGGAAGAAGTAAAAACGAGTGCTCTTCAGGCCTTAAAAACACCTATTTTATATCATATTTATTTAAAGAAATTCATACCATCAAATCAGCGCAGTTTGAAATTGCCATTTCTTAAACTGGTAGAAGTCTGATATATAATTGGTAAGATGAAATCACAGTGACACAGTGATTCCAAAAGAGGTTTTATCAATATTAAATACACAAAATATAATAATTAGAAACAATGGCTACTACTTAAATATTAAGTCTTGTGTAAGAGACAGTCTATTTATACCACTTCTGTGGAACACAACTAGTTAAATGGCATTATTTTTATACAGCACCCCATTTGTAAAAATCTTGGGTGCTTTGGGCTGCTCAGTATAAAGATTACTAGACAGGAAGGCTTTGTTCTAAGGTTTAAATGAATGACATTTCTGTAAATGTAGTATAAAATGCCATTTGGCTATTGTTATCCATCTCTGCTTCCAGATTTACGCTTACAGCTGGCCCTGGATATCCATAAAGACAGGCAGGATGGAGGCAGTGAACCTTCTACGGGTAAGTCAAAAGGAGAATTTTAGTGAACCATAAAATTTTCAAAGTTCTCGTGGGTCTCTTCTCATACCTACCAGTTTGATTATAGCATTACTATCTTTTTATTTTTTAAATTCCCTCCTACGTATGTAATTTGAAATGCATGAAAAAGTATATTTACATATTTAAAGCCTCTACGGAAAGAAAACTGAGCATAATGTATTTTATATAAATCATCTGAAGTCTTCTAATCTTGCCCTGTTCCCACTATGGACTACCCATATAGGTAGTCCCCAACCTAAGACCACAATAGGGAGCAGAAACTTTCTTATTAAACTGAGTATTAAGCGAGGCATTATGTGACTACATCCAATTTTACAGTCTTTTTTGCCACAGTCATTAAGCAAGACATCACGTGATTAGGACTTACAATCTTCTCTACCAGCTTCCCCATTGGCTTTGCTTATTGGAAGCCAGATGGAAAGATGGTCGTAAATGCAGCCAACTTGCCAAGTCCTTGAATCACGAACACGGGGATGCTACAATAGTTGTAAGTGTGAGGACTGGTCATAAATCCCTTTTTTTTCCAGCAGCATCATAACTTCAAACAGTTGCTAACCAAATGGCCATAAATAAAAAAAACTACCTCTCATTTCTTAATACGGACATGAATTCCCCCCACCTCTCATATTTTGAAGCTCTGATCTGTCCTGCATCCATCCAAGGCTGTCTTAATGCCTTTGAGCAGATACTCTACAGGTAATCCTCGACTAACAACTGTTCATTTAGAAACAGTTCAAAGTTACAACGTGTTTATTTATTCTAAACTGCTTCTATGGCCAACTCCAATTAGCTACAACACCTGGCACAGTCCTTCTCCTCCAAGAGCTGATTGCTGCCCTGTGCAATAATGACATCCTGGGTTGCTTGGCAACTACCGTATGTTGTCAGATTGGAAAACAAACAGATTAGGTTGCCATGCCGAATTATTGATAACATCAGTAAATAAGTTTACTGTTGTTACTATAATACAATAAATACAATTACAATAAAATAAAATAGAATAATTAAAAAGTGTTAGGTACAAAGAACTCAAAATAAGGTAGGTCAGATTTATTACTTTAAAAAAATTCTTTTTGAGTTTAAGTGACAGCAGAGCAACAGTAGCAAGATAACTGCTAAGAGTGAGAAGCATTCTGCAAGAATATAATTCAATATTCAAAGTCTGCGCCCTTGAATTTATTTGAAAGTAAAAGGTAAAGGTTTCTCTGTCAATCATGCCCGACTTTAGGGTATGGTGCTCATCTCTGTTTTGTGGCTGAGGGAACCAGCGTTATCTGAGGACATTTTCTGTGGTCATGTGGCCAAAGGCACACAGGATGCTATTACCCACCTACCAAAGTGGTACTTATTAATCTACTCACATTTGCATGCTTCCAAACTGTTAGGTGGGCAGGAGCTGGGGTAAATAATGGGAACTCACCCCATTGTGTGGTGCTCAGGTTTCAAATCCGGGCTGTTAGCTTTGCAGCTGACAAGCTCAGCGTCTTTAACCACTAAGCCATCGTGCCCCCTCTTTCATCTACCCTCTTCATCTATCATCAACCATTTGGCCCTAATCCTATTGCGAATGGATCACTGGTGAACATAATAAATGATGTGGATCAAGGGCCTGATATGCTATTCAACAGGCTGCTTATAAAACTTTCCATCAAGCTATGAGGACCAGATAGATAATATCAGGAGTAATAATTAACATAGCCCTACATTGAGAAATTCCTGCTTTGTTCATCAGGGTCTCAATCCTATGAAGAGATGAATGGATCCTTATGCCCCACTGCAAGCAAGCTGTTTCATCTGCATACCAACACAAGCAATGAAGAGGGTGAGTATCCTGGATTCTCTAGGAAGGAAGTTGGTTGCAAGAACTTAGAAAAGAAGAAAAAACTTCAAGGCCTACTTTGCCAACAAAACTTCAAGGATTAGTTTAGGCAGTCACCAGGAGTCCAGACTGACTTGAAGGCACCAAAAAGATCACTACATGATTTTAAGCCAGTCATTCACTCTCAACCTAACCCCGTGGTGGTGAACCTATGGCACACAAGCCACAGGTGGCCGCAGAGCCCTCTCTGTGGGTATGTGTGCTGTCGCCCCAGTCCTAGGCCTTCAGCTAGGTTTTATAAAACCTTTTCGCTTTAGGCCTCCGACGTGGTGTGCAAAAAAAAAAAAAAAGGTTCAATCAATCAGTCAATTTCAACTTCTCACGGGAAAAAAAAAGATCTTGCAAAATTGGAACTGATTGATCGAACTTTTTAGTCCCACCCAGTCTGCCATTACCACTGCAGCCACACCCACCCAATGGGCCACGCCCACCCGGCACCCAACAATACATAAGTGAGTTTTGAGTTGCAGTTTGGGCACTCGGTCTCTAAAAGGTTCGCCATCACTGACCTAACCTATCTCAAAAAGTTGTTGTTCTGGAAAAGAAGTGCTGTGCATGCTATCTTGAACCCCTGAATAAGAGGCAAGATATACATCCAGTAAATAAAATAGTTATTTTACACTTCAAATAATTTAAAGCTACTTCCAATAGATGCTGGGCGTAAACTTAAGAATTGTTCCTCTGAACTTTAAGAACAAGTAGCAAAAAGGAATGTTATTCAAAGCCATGGTATTGCAGTGAATTACAATGGGTGACTTTTTTTTGCATTTAAAATTGTGTGGCAGATGGAGTAAAACCAACAGCTGCTGAAGAGCACTTTGAGATTTTATTGATCTACAAACATAAGATATTTTGTTTGAAGAGCAGAAAACATTTGCATGCAAACAAGCACATTTATCAAATTAATTGCATACCATATGTCATCTTCCTGATTTCCTTATTTAGGAATAATAGCTGATTTAGAGAAAAAAACAGTCTTGTCCTTGGCCAAACATATTTATTTTTAACTTGCTTCTTTCCATAGGAACTTGACCAAGACAGAAAATATGGAACAAAGAGACTTGTTACTAATTTATATTGTCTGCGCTTGTTATTGCTGATTCTCTTCCCTGACAGAACTTTCCTTTGTGTAACTTTCACAACAGTTTCTAACTTATAGCTAGTCCTTGACTTTCAACCACAATTGAGCCGAAAATTTTTGTTGCTAAGACAGTTGCTGAATGAGTTTTGCTCCATTTTAGGATCTTTTCTTGCCACAGTTGTTAGTAACATAGTGTTAAGTGAATGTAGCTTCCCCATTGACTCTGTCAGAAGATCACAAAAGATGATCCCAGGGCATTGCAACCGTCATAAATACATGCCAGTTGTCAAGCGTCCACATTTTGATTACACAACTATGGGGATGCTGCCATGAATGTAAATATGAAAAACACTCATAACACACTTTTTTCAGTGGCATTATAACTTCAAACAGTCACTAAACAAATGTAAGCTGAGGACTACCTGCACTGTAACTATGGTTTTGGTTATGTCTGATAATGTTTCTGGATTTCAGTGCTGTGCAGACATAAGCTCAACAGACAATGTATTTTCTTTCCCTGTTCAGACATCCATTCCAGACAATATAGGAGGAGATCCAGTTAGTTAATGGTACAAAAAAATAAGAAGCAGCACGCCTAAAGGGTTATTCCATTTTTTAATTTGTTAGTTGGAAAAAAATGGCACCAGAATCCCATACCAGAGAAAGCTACAGCTGCTTGTTATCTTACCAAAGAGGGAGTAAATCATTTGTACATCTGTTGCACCATCTGTGACAAACTAAATAATCCAAGTATTAATGGAATTTGCATGAATCAAAGGGTTGGAATAGATGATTTCTAAGGGCTAGTTTGGTGTAGTCATTAAGGCATCAGACTAGAATCTGGGAGACTTGATTCTAGTGCTGTTTTAGGCAAGAAGCCAGCTGGGTGACTAGTGGAAGCCAGTCATTCTTTCTCACTGCCAGGAAGCAAACCATTTCCAAAAGTTTGCCAAGAAAACTGCAGGGACTAGTCTCTGAATCTTGGGCTAATGTTTCCAAGCCTCTGGTTTAAATCTGGAAATCTACACAAGAAGCACGAGGTTTCTTGTTAATCAGCTGGTTCAAGCAATAGCATGATCCAAAGTTAGAAAAATAGAGAAACGTTAACTCAGAAATATGCTAGATTCAATTTATTTCTGAGTGTTTAAAATCTAAAGCTATAGTCTTTGTGATTGTCTCTAGTATCTGGAAAGCCCAGTATTAAGGACATGACAGGCAAAAAAAAAAAAAAAAAAAAAAAATGACTAACACTGAAATCCTTGGATATCTCCAACACTTGCCAGTTCCAGAAATCCCACTGTCGTAAACTGGGATTGGAAATTCAATTAATCTATAACAAGTTTCTCACTGTAGATGCCGACTCCTATGAAAATATGGAAAGCCCCACAAGCCTCAACTCACGGAGAGAAGGCATCTTGGATCCACATGGAGAAAGTAAGTTGAGAGGAAAGGGAAGTCATGGAGCTGGAAACGTTTCCTTAGGAATGCTGCGTGTGCAAACGTGTTTTTGCAACCACCTGAGTTAGAAATTTATCTTTTGCCAGGGAAATAAATCAAGTGGGCCAGGTTTTTATTTTATTTTATTGCTAGTTTAAAAAAACATTCAGTTTAATGAATTCAGTGTCCTATCTTATGTTTAAATTGCTGCAAATCCCATAGTATGCAAGAAATGTTGCTCATACAGGACTTAGGTTGTAGGTTTGTGTTACTTTCCCCAGCATTATCTACACAATCTTCATTTGTTCCACAGGTTCTCCCTCTGGCTCCAGATGGCAACATATCTCTGTTACTTTTGGGGGTGATCTCAGAGGTGGGCTGCTGTGCTCAGACTAGGATTGCCACAGCACGAGAGCAAGCTGGGAGCAGTTCCTTTCTTCTCTAAATTAAAGATATGTCTACCCAGAATTCTACTCTATTGTCCCAGAAGATGAGGAATGTTGAATGTGTTATATATCAGACCTTTTACAAGAGAAGAAAACTTTGAGAGATTAGACTTGTGTCTGATGTCTAGCAGTTGGAGCAGTGAAGAATGGCAGAGGGATTTTTGAAGGAGGTGTGGCTAGAGACATGCATTTTTCAATTGCTCAGAGATTCTGAAAATGTTTCTTTTGTTTCACAATTACTTCCAAGCAAATGTGGACATTTAAAAAAAAAGCTGTTTATGGATCTGATGAATCAACCTGTGGCAGATGGATAATAGTACCCAGAGAATCAAGCTCTGGAACAACGAACTGGCTTGCTGATTTATTAGTTCTTATGATAAGCATGAAACCACCTTGTCTTCGTTTAAGACTGTGTTGATTGGTGTGCGCGACAATGACAAAACCACCCTTCGTTTTCAGAAAATGAAGCAGCATTTCAAGCAAGAAGCATAAGATTATAAATGCTCTTTCAACAAAGTGATCAGTAAATACTTTGCTACATAATTGTTTTAATTGGAAAAGATATTCCATATCTTATCTTTTGATAAGCCTATATCTACAAGGATCAGAATGGGATCTCCTCTGTGATAGTCTAGGAAAGTGAAAGTTGGACTTTTAAAAAACAGGATAGGAAGAGATGTTTTGGGGATAGTTGTGTTGAAAAAGACTCCTGAGAATATTGTGGATAGCCAGGAAAACAAACAAATGGGTCATTGAACATATCAATCCAGAAGTCTCACTTAATGCACAAATGACCAGACTCAAATTATTCTACTTTGGACATACTATATGAAGATCTGGCTCTCTGAAGAAGGCTGTAATACTAGCAAAGTTGGAAAGAAACAGGACGATGATCAGGAGCAAGGTGGATGGACTTAAAGTGGTGATGGGTTCATCAATGGAAGACTAAAGGAATGGGTTAGGGACAGATCTTCATAGAGAAATTCATCTGCATGGATTCTAAGTCAAACCAACTTGATGGCATATAATCAAATCCATTTTTTAAAGGCAAAATCTGTTAGGGATTTTGGTGAAGGGTAAGAAACTACAGTCATTAGATATGTATGTATCAAGAAAAGCAAGAACCTGGGGAGGAGAGAGGGGAAGAACACGTTACGGCCATAGAGAAAAAAAATTGGTTTCTATAAAGAGATGTGTTCCTGTGTATCTATCAAAAAAGGACACATTTGGTTGGGTTGAGACATTCTATTCAGCCATAATTTAATGAAGATCTACAATAATAATGCTAAGCTATAAACGATTATCTGCATTCATTCAGTAACATTCATACAGTATGTTATAATACATCAACATCAGATATATTCCATTATAACCTAGCACAGTGTAAGGGCTGTGGGTTATCTCCTGGCTATATAAAAAGGTTCTCACTGAGGTTAACAAACTGGGAAAAATTGTCCCAATATATTATTGTTCTTATTTTTCTTGTTCTGTTTTATCAGGTCCTATATCCTGTAAAATAAAATATTCTATATTGTATTGTCTTCTGCTTCTTGCCACATCGTGATCTCAACAAGCTCGTTTTTAATTTTTATTTGAATTTGGGTCAGGTGATTGTAATCTTATGCAGAAACAAAGACATTTTTCTTGAAAACATTCCAGCAGCTGTTGCCAGTGCTACATACATGCAGTCCTCAACTTACAACAGCTTGTTTAGTGACCAAAGTTACAGCAGCACTGAAAAAACTTAAGACTTATGACTGTTTTTCACATTTACGACCATTGTAGCATCGCCCTGGAGAGGTAAACAAAATTGGGATACTTGATAACTGGCATGTATTTATGATGGTTGCAGTGTCCGGGGATCATGTGATTACCTTTTGTGACCCTCTGAAAACCAAAGTCAATGGAGAAGCCAGATTCACTTAATGACCATAGTGATTCACTTAACAATGATAGCAAGAAAGGTCGTAAAATGGGGCAAAGCTCACTTAACAGCTGTCTTGCTCAGCAACAGAAATGAGGGCTGAATTTTGGTCATAAGTAGAAGACTACTTGTAATTGTTTTTAGTCTTAAACAATTGAAATTAAGGGGAAAGAGCAATGATCTGCCCTGTGAAAAATATTCCTGAACAGCACAAGACATTTTCTGCCTTTCCCCAACCCAATGCTATGTACAGTTGATATGTTTGGGATTTGTAATTCTGATACCACAGGGGTTCTAGATTATAAAAATGCAGTATTGGAAAAATGAAGGAACACCAACAGAGGAAGAAATAATTAAAAAAAAATACTGGAATGCGCAGAGATGGACTAGATTGACTATAAGTTTGAAAGAAAAAGAAGAAGTAGAATATTACTAAACTTGGAACTTATTTTATCAATGGCTAGAGGAAAGATTGAAGGATTAGGAATTAAATATGTTTTATTTATTTATTTATTTATTTATTTATTTATTTATTTATTTATGAGACTTATATACTGCTTTAAGTTCAAGCACTCTCTAAGCGGTGTACACCAGTAAGCAATGTGTATATATATTTACATTGCCCCCAACAATCTGGGTCCTCATTTTACCTACCCGGAAGGATGGAAGGCTGAGTCAACCTTGAGCCGGTGAGATTTGAACCGCTGACCTGCTGAACACAGTCAGCTAAAGTGGCCTGCAGTACTGCACTCTAACTGCTGCGCCACCTCAGCTCTATTAGTGTTTTTAAATCCAGACAGCATGTTGTTTGAAAAAAATATATGTATGTAAGAAAAAATCAATAAAATCTTTAAAAAAAATAGATTATAAAAATGCAACACAGGCGGTCCTTGACATACATCTACAGCTGGGACTAGGATTTCCATTGCTAAGCAATGCAATTCTTAAGCGAGTCAAACATGATTTTGCCATCTTTTTGCCATGTTTTTTTAAGTGAATCACGGCAGTTGCTAAGTGAATCCTCCATTGATTTTGCTTGTCAGAAGCCAGCTGGGAAAATCGTAAATAGCAATTACAAGACCCTGGGACAACCATTGTAAATACATGACTTTTGCCAAGTTCCCAAATTTGGATCACATGACCCTGGGGAATGCGGCAATAATCACAAATGCAAAAATCAGTCATGTGCCCCTCTTTCAGTCGCTAAATGAATGGCTGTAAGTCACTGAGCTGTAGGCATACTGTACAGTATGCTGTTTCTATAAAACCTGGATCGTGCTCAAACTTCAACCCTATCAGAATAAACTTTGCAAAATAGGACGAGACTCAGGAAAGTAATTTTAAAAATGAGATAGTGGTCTCATTTTAATTCCATGTCATCTAAGTCAGCGTTCCCCAACTTTTCCGGGATGATGTCCCAGCAGAAGGGGAAGAAGGGGAGAAAGAGGAGATGGTTTTATGAGAAGGACAGGCATGTGTGTGTGCATGTGCACACAGCTTCATTTGTGTGAGTGGTGAGGATGCGCACCTGCCGCTTGCACAAGTGGATCTGTGAGCACCAGCACCACTGCTCATGCGAGTGTGGCTGCATGCATGCACGCCGGCCCAACACTCACGTGGCCCGATGGAGAGTAGGCCATGGACTGGTAGCGGGCCATGGCCCACAGGTTGGGGACCCTTGATCTAAATTGCACAGTGCATTACAACCTCTGTAATGTACATTACATTACAACCCAAAGGAGGAATTTAATTTAACACTGATTGCAGGAAAATATAGAAGGCCAGGAACTGCAAATAGAAAATGCAAGTCCTGAGAACAAAAATTTGGCAAATAACTGAGAAAGGAGCATGTAGGAGAGCTGGTGGGAAATATTGTTGACTGTGCTGAGAAAACTTTCAGAGGCAGAAGGTTAGACTGCAAATAACACAAGGAAACAGGAGAGCGGATATAACAAGAAAAGCTATCGTGTTTGAAGATAAACCCAGTGAAGAACATGTGTAAAAAGACAGGAAAAAATGCCTCTTCCTCTCCTCCATTTACACAGTGATTCTTTAAAAGATCTGTATACTATTCAGATAGTCTATTCAACAATTAAACCTCATCCTCTTTTTAACTCAGGAGAGGCTTATTTCCCCCTTATTTGAATAAAGGTGAAAGTCCACGCCAGTGGTGGGATTCAAATAATTTAACAACCAGTTCTATGCAAGGGAGGAGGTGGGGGGCTGCTGCCACGAGGCGGGGGAGAGGTGCCCCATGCACCCCACCCCCGCTTACCCTGCTGAAGGGCCCTGTAGCCAAGTCCTGCAAAAGGCAAACTTTAAAGAAAGTTAAACAGTATGGCAGCAAAAATCCAGCACGGGGAAAAAAAACTCTGGGTTTTTTTTTGAGATGCCAGATTAGCGTACATTCACATGCCTCCAATCCCCTTGCTTGCTGCAAAGCCAGATTGGAGTCTTTGAGCCGCTCCTTCCAGCCCATTTCGGAGACAGTCTAAAAGGGAAGGGAATGGTTCCCACCCCACCTGATCACTTAGGGGCTTCATTTCACCCAGACTGGCTACAAGCAACAGCATGAAAAAGTAGCAATAATGGTGCATTGGAATATCTATAAGAAATACTATCTGCCTTCAAGCAAGAACTGGAACCATAAAGTAAAGAAAATAATAGAAAATGAAGAAGTGGTGTAGGGTTTCCGGCCTGAGCAGGGGGCTGGACTCAATGACCTCCAAGGTCCGTTCCAACTTTATTATTATTATTATTATTACTACTACTACTACTACTACTACTACTACTACTACTACTACTTCTACTTCTTCTACTACTACTGCTACTACTTCAGAATTCAAATAGAAAAGCACCTGCTACATAACACACCAGTCTGAACAATTGTGGATAAAATAGACAAAAAAGTCTGGATAGTGGCCATGGCAGTACTGCAGACAGTAAGGTAGAAGAGGAAAAAACTGGAAACGATAACCAAAAAAAAAAAAAAGACTTGCAAACAGAAATAGAACGACTATGGCAAAAGAAAACAAAGTTAGTACCAATAGTAATAGGTGCCTTGGATGCAAACTCAACACAGCTAGAGCACCAAAGGAATTCCTGTTTTTCTTAGTTGTCATAAAAAACCTAAACTCAATCAATTATCAGAATAATCTCCAACATCTAGAGCACTACTTAAACACCATCGACATTGACAAAATTACATCAGTCAACTGCAAAAGGAAACTTTATTTGGAATAGTTTACAACCGGTGACAATACCTTTAACACCAACATATGCCTATCCCAGGTTCTTGGGAAGGTCTCCATAAGTGGATAAAAATGCCAAATCCAGTCTGAACATCTGGCTGACGGTGCAACAAATCACAATAAGTTTTGTTGTTATGTTCTCTTAGAAATTCTTAAATGCAGTCATAGTCCAATGGAATTCATTCTCGCGAACATTCTAGCGAACCTAGGCCAAAGCCACTTTAGTAACAATTGCAAATACAATGTCAGGCTCAAAAGAATGAACAGGGTTCTCTCCAGCCTGGAAACTTAAAAACTACCCATCCCCTATTTGCCTTTATTTACCGTTTTTTAAATTTTATTTTCTCACGTCATCTCCCTCCCACCCATTTTTGAGGGGTAACTATTGTTTATTCCTTAAATTTATTTCCAGTTATTTGTGGTTAATCAGCAAATGTTTGTTTTTTAAACTGAAAAAAAAAAACAATCCCTGAGCATGGGTGGATTCCAACCCCTCAGGAAAGCAAAACATTGGCTTTAAAAAATGTTGCTCTTCTTTGGAAACTTCGCCTGCCTGTTTCTGTATCTACCATTTACACGTGAGTAACCAGAAAATCGAAGAACAGCAACCAACAACAGGGTGAGAGATGTGATGGAAAAACTCTGAATGGTACCCAATATCTTTCAACTGGCTAATGCAATGGGGTGGCAATGGACCCAACTTGATGGTCATTTTTGGAGACCTGTGGCAATGGGGATTGGTGGATCAAAGCCCTTGGTCCAAGAGGGCTTGAATTCTGTCTCGTTGTGGTGCTATGTGGTCTGGATTCTCAGAAAAAAGAACTTTTCTTTTCTTTTTTCTTTTCCTTAATCTTTTCCTTTAAAAAAAAAATCTTGCCTTAACCACTAGGCCAAATTGGCTCTCCAGTTTGGCATTCCAGAGGGCAAAGGGTCAGTGAAGCATGGAGAGTTTGGTCAAGAGAAAGAGAGTTAAAAAGGCTCCTCCCTAGCAATTCCCAGAGTATATCTATGGTGATCATGCTGGTTCAAGAATTCTGGGAGTTGAAGTCCACAAGTCATAAAGGAGCCATAGTTCTGATCTCTTCAGATGGGTTGATCTCAGTCAGTCAAATGTTTATTATAGTCAAAGATCAGAACATCTCAACGGAAAAGATCTCTAGTCTCAAGTAAAGTTGGCAATCTTGAACTTACTTAGGTACCAAGCTACATAATGCCTTATATTGATTTTCTAACAGCAGGTCTTCCTGTTGTCTTTCTCTTTCAGAGGCAGCTTTAACTATTACAATGCCCAAAGACACAATTCAGGCCAAACCAGGTTTTGATGTCCTTCTACCTTGTTATTTTGAGGAGTCTTCTGGGCATATAGATCCCAAACGCCTGGCTGTGATATGGCGTGTGGGCACCAGAATTATTGCTAAGTATGAAGATAAGTTAGAAATCTTTCACAAGGGGGCAAAGATGTCTCCTGAAGGCCTGCTACGGGGCAATGCCAGCCTCGTGCTTCCAAATGTGCAGGATGCAGATGGCAACACTTATGCTTGCATTGTTATCCACAGCCCTGACCGTGAACAACAGTCAGTAGAGTTGAAAGTGGAAGGTAAAGGAAATCAAGGGAAACGGAATGAGGGTCAGATGTTAACCTTAAAAATGTTTAAAGCATGAATACAATACAGGTTAAAATCCTGTGGCATTTTATGGCCTACAGGCCACATCCCAGTGGGAGGGGGGCATTGGCAGCAGGGGCGAGGGAGGCAGGGAGATGGGCAGGGGTGGGAGGAGGACAGGGGTTGGCAGTGGCAGCTTTCCCCAACAGTCCCAGTTTCCAATGTGACTCCTTGGGAAAAATAATTTTCTACCCCTGATCTAGGCCACAGTTTTAAAAGTGTTCCAGAAGAAATTAGGGGTCACTGAGTATTAATGATGCAAAAACATACTTTTTCAGTAACACCTACAGCACCAGTGGTTTTTTGCTTGAAAACATTTTCAATTGCAGGTTGCCTTCAAGATATGACCACAATCGAAAGTTTTATAAATTTTACAAAAAGACAAAAACAATACAAAACAAAAGACAACATATACAAAAAAGAAACTAAACATTACATATATATATAAAAAAAAAAACCCCATCCCCCACCCCTCACAAAAACCCCTCCCTTCCCCCCCCTGAGCTTCCCAGAGCAGAATATAGACTTAATTAAAAATTAAGAAATAAAAATAAAAAATTAAATTAAAAAATTTATATTTATATATATATATATAAAAAAAATATCTATATATATATATAAAAATAAAACTTATAAAAAAGCTATATGATATTTTTGTATACCCAATCTAAATTGTATAAATTTTATCCATTTGTCCCAAACAGCAAGGAACTTCTCTTGCGTTTGTTGCAATAAAATAAAATAAAATAAAAAATAATAATAATAATAATAATAATAAAATAATAATAAAAAAATAAATAAATAATAATAATAATAAAAAAGATATGACCACAATCTGGCTTCTGGTTCCTGTTCGCGGTGTTCCTAGTCGTACGCAGAGACTTGTCTCCTCGTCGGCTAGCTTTCCCTCCGCCGGTCGACTCTTATACGGGTCGAAAGTTGCCCTGGAGGGTGCGACTTCCGTTGAGGAGGCTTCAGCTCGGCTACGGAGGAGCAGCGGCTCCTCCAGCTGTCCAGGCAATCTCTGAGGGCTGACGGAGAAGAAGCACCCTGCTGCTTCAAACTGCAAGTCAAAGAACATCTAAGCTGTAAGAACCCCCATAGTGAATCTGGGTGAGACTTTTTCTTGTCACTTTCTCTATTTTACTTTGCTTTTGGAACCTGTAAGAGCCTTTTGGAATTATTTCCCTGGCTTGAGAAGGCAGCTTTTATGTGTTTGGGAAAGAAGGTGTTTTTCTTTAAGACTATATCTTATTTTCATACTTTTTGGGATACAGAAAATTCTCCTTTTTTCTAAGAATTGTACTATCATCTGGTGCTGGAAGATTATTTTTTCTTTCACACTAAACTTTTAAAGACTGGAAAAGACCTTTTTTTAACCTACTGAGGACATCTAATGGTGAAAATTTAACATTGTAATTTCTGGTTCTTGTTTGAAAAGTTTTGACCTTCAAATTATTCTTGAAAAAAGATAATCTGTGCAGCTGTTGGGAACTGTGGGGGTGGACACTGACTAATCTTTATCAAATACAGTCCCCACAAAAAAGAAAAAAAGTTTTTTTTTTACTTACTATTAAAATGGAGGAATTGCATTCACAATTAAACTATAATCTTATACTGGAAAAGATATATGAGGCCACTGCAGAAATTTGTGCCATATTGAAAGAACCTATTACAGAACTAAAATCCAGAAATCTCACGTCAAACATTCAAATGGATGCTCAGACTACATCTGACTATTTGACAAATCAAAACACACCAGAAGAGAAATTAACAGAGATAAAAGAGGAACTCATCATACCTTACAAATCTCTCATTTGTAACTTTGAGGAACAGAAGAAGCAAAGACTGAGATTTGAAACTACAAAGCAACGATATTTTAAGGAGAGAAACAGACATCTGACACAGAGGATGGGACTCTTATTTTTTCAAAGCTTACTGCAAGCAACAAAGATAGATCTACTGGCTGAAAGGGAATCATCTTTATGGAAACCTACCTGGCATAGGAAAAAAGCCAGAATTAGATTGAAAAGATAAATTTAAAATAGTGTAATGGAATAAAAGATAACGCTGGATTTACGGACTGTTTTAAGGTTCAAGGCTGATAGATATTTTAAACAGATTAAGAATGTACTGGATCTGTGTATTCATGTACTGAATAATAGGCTCAGTTTGATGAAAAACATTATGTATTAGAATTGAAAAAATGATGACTATTTAGATTGGATGGTTTCAATAATCAATGGAGTGTTTTAAATTAGTAAGATGACCTTTTTGTATGACAACAAAGATGTGATAAGGCATGATAAGTAATTGGAGAAAATTTGAATTCTGTTTAATGAACTTGAATGAATTAAGGTTTAATATTATTTTGTTATTTTAAAGAGATGGATTGATTGTGGGATTTTATACAGTATGTATAGGGTTGATTAATACTTTATTGCTATTAGGATATTTACTGTGTTGTGGAAGAAGAAACAAATGAGATTGGTAATAAAATGAGGGATGTGAGAGATTAAGAATTAGAATTGATAATTTGTTGTTTTAAAACTAAACTATGGTAATTGTAAACTGATAAAGTTATAAAACAGGTGGAGCAGTTATAGAAATTTAAAATAGAAATGGAATATTTTAAATGTATTATGTTATTCGAGGGAAATAGAGAGGGGATAGCGAAATATAATGTGCTGAGCTGTTTATATATGTCTTTACTTTTGAATGTTTGACCACCCAAACACCACGGTGGGTCTTGAGCACTTTTTCTTAAGAAATTAAAAAACTAATAAAATGTGTTTAAAAAAAAAAGATATGACCACAATCGGGTTGGAATGTCTGTCACTAAGAAGATGAATTGTGCCTAATTTTGCAAAAAAAAATTGCTGCAGTCCTTAAGCAAATCACCATGGCTGAACCACTTGGAGTATGTTCTGCTTATAGTCCAGTGCTACTTTCCTTTCCACTGCCACTTTTTGCAGATCTTTGTCTTTCTTCTCCTGCCTTGGACTTCTTCCTGGTTTCTCCTCCCTAGCTGTGAGTCCTCTGGCTCTCTGCTTTCTCAGCCACTGCTTCTGCTGCTCCACATCATATTTGTCACTTTTCCTCCAGCACATCACCTGCCACACCTAAAAGTCCTCTCTCTCTCTCTCTGAAACAAGAAAAAAGATTTTCTTGTTTCACAGCAGGTCATCCTTCCAGAGTGGGGGTAGTGTGACTGACTTTCACAATCTGCATGCGTACTCTCAGCAATCCTAGCTTTCAGAAATAACTTAGAGAGAGAAAAGCAATTATAATGTAATAAACAACAACGTAAGGAAGAGGATGTTTAGCTGTTCTGGTCCACCTCTCTTTTTGTTAAGTATTACCCTCTGACCTCCATTTCTACGAGAATATAAATAATATATATATATATATATATATATATATATATATATATATATATATATATATATTCATTTAGAATGAATATGTAAATCAAAGAAGGCCCTGTTGTATCTACCTCTGCTATCTGTACCATCTGAAATTGTCATCAGATCTTGGTGACTGGGGATTAGCCATTATCTGAGCTGGACTGTTGGCCGTTGGAGAGATTATTATCAATAGTGTCTTCTTTCTCTTTGAATGTCTTTGAATTTCCTCCCTAGAAAAGTATGTTAGCTTGGTTTGTCCATCAAAATTACTTGTCAGCCAAAATCTTTCTTGCTGAAGGTCTGTGTCCTTTGACTTTGTTACATTTTTCTTACATGTAAATGCATACATACATTTTATGTATGTATATGTGTATTTTTTAAGTGTGTGTGTGTGTGTGTGTGTGTGTGAGAGAGAGAGAGAGAGAGAGAGAGAGAGAGAGAGAGAGAGAGAGAGAGAGAGAGAGAGAGAGAGAGAGAGAGAGAGAGAGAGAGAGAGAGAGATTTGGTAAATTCCTAAGGGAACAGAACTGGATACAACCTCTGCCTGGTATGGAGTTAAAATGCATCTTTCTACAGCTTGAATGTTTGTTCCAGTGTTTATATGCAGTTGCTTATTGACCCAGAATAGGAAAATTGGGAATGACAGGTGAAGATGTTTAGTCATTCTTTCCATCAGTACCACCTCGTTTGTGACAAATTACAGCTTTGTAGGAAGCTAACAATCTTTCTGTTCTGGTTTTTGGAGTTTTCCTTCTTCTATCCTCTCTGTTTCCAGCTCCCCCACTTGTTAAACTTGGCTCCACAAATGTGCAGTTGACCAAGCCAAGCACGGTTGCGTGTACAGCAACAGATTTTTATCCTGGCAAAATATCCATGACGTGGTTCCGAAATGATAGGATTGTGCAAGGCCCCGAACAGCCTCCTGCTCAACCCAGCACTGGCCAGTTGTTCAGAGCAGAAAGTATCTTGGAGCTCATACCAGAATTTTCGGACGCCAATGCCAACTTCTCTTGCCATATCTATCATCAAGCGCACAAAGGCCCAAAGGTACTAAATTTCCGGCTACAATTGCAAGGTGAGTTTGACCTTTTGCTTGGAAAGCAAGGATTGCTAGCAGCCTTTCTCCAGCTGTCCAGTCACAACCTCTTTATTTTAACGTTTCTTGAAATTTGGGCTGAAAGGCAGAGCTGGGTTCACAAAATGCAGAAAACATCATCTTGCTTATTTAAAACTTTATTTTTAAAAAATCCTAATTGACTATATTTATGTGATCCCACCCAGTTACAGACCCTTAGCTGACAAAGCTCATGTGTCTTGGTTATCATGATATCCTAATTGAGTCTAAAGCTAGCTGTGAACCTAATGACTGGTTCATGCTACACAACAGCATGGTTTGTTTGGGTCTCACTTTAGGATCTCACGATAACCAAGCCACATGAGCTTTGTCAGTTAGAGGTCTGTAAATTAAAATGTGATACATTTTTCAGTGCCATTGTAGCTTCACATGGTTGTAGGTTGAGGACTACCTGTAATCTCAGGCAGGTCCAAGACTAATTTCAAGGAGTTGGGAACTGATGATAGGAATCTATCTCAACCTTGGCAGCTGGCTGGCTGGGGAATTCTGGGAACTGAAGTCCATCCATCTTCAAGTTGCCAAACTTGAGAAACCCTGGCCTACTGGATCCAGAAGTTCAAGTTTCCTTCTTCTCTTTGCAGCTCGCCCCATCCTTCAGCTGATCACAAGGCCACAGGGGGAGAAATTTGTGGTAGCCGAGTGCAATGTGAACAAATTTTATCCCTCTCAAATCCACCTTCAGTGGTTGCAAAATGGAGTGCTACAAGAACATGTACAGTCAAAAGTACACCGCATGCCAAATGGGATGTTTTCCATCAACAGTGTCTTATTCCCACAGACGAGTAATGTTAAACTTGCTTATGTTTGTCGAATAGAACATGAAGCTTTGGAGACCCCATTGGAACAGTCTGTCCTTTGGCGGCCAGGTAAGGGAGATGCAATTATTCTTCCTGATCTCCCAGGTACCAAAGTACTAGGAATACATTTCTGCTCTCGCCATCTTGGCCCACAGGTACAAGTGCAGTGATTCCTTGGTTGTTGGGATACATTCTTGGACTTGGGTCTGGATTAGCACTAGCAGGTGGCATAGCATACTATAAAGGTAAGCTTTCACATCTAAAAAACGAAGAGTTTAATGGCAGGGATGAAGGGGAGAGACAAAACCAACATAGGGAAAAAACTAAGATGAAAGAGGCCACAGTACAATTAGTCCATGACCTATGATTATAATTGAGCCCAGAATTATGGTCATAGGTTATTGTGGTCCTACGTTAAGGCAACACGTGACCAGACACATTTTTTTTTTACAATTTTGAGGCAGTTGTTAGATGAAGAAATGGTTGTTAAGAAAATCCATTTCACTAATGTCCTTTTTGTGCCAAAAACTGGAAGTAAACGCCGGAAACTATCAAATAAATTGCAACTTATGGACATGTGACTGAGATGGTACAAACAGCAGTAAAGGTGAGCCAGTTGCCAAGTCCCCAAAATGTGATCACATGACCGTGCCAAGGATAAGGCTGTCCTAACTGAAAACAAGTTGTAAGTAGCTCTGTAGTAACTTTGTAGGGTCATTAAGGGACCAGTTATATGTGAATTAACCTGTACCTGTTAATGACACTTTAAAAAAAATTTTCTCCATTTACAGTCAAGAAGAATTCAGTTACAGGAACAACCATTTAGAAAAAGCCTCTTCAAAAGACAGATGAAGACTTGACAGCTCAAACCCCAAGACAGGAGAGACCAGTAGTGGGTTAATACCTTCAGAAGAGTTTAATGGTGTGCAGGAACAGCGACTTTGACTGGATGATTACCATATATATTCCGCTGAAAATTGTCATCTATGTAAAGCAAGCTACAGGTTTTTCTTTGGTGATCTGTACAATGTCCTTCCATTGCTTAAGGAAACCACAGATATATAAAGGCAGGGTATCTGTGAAAGACAACAAGTGGAAATTATTCTTTGGGAATAAACCATCAGTCCCAGATTTCTACTTTTCATTTTTAAAAATCAAGCTGTTCTACAAATTATGCTGTGAAGCAAAACACTAACTCTCTCTTTTAGTTAGTTATTAGAAAGGGGGGAGGGGAGGAAACCCTGCTTGTTTTTTTTTTAAATTTCTAGCTAGATCTATGCAAAACATTTGGAACTAGAAAAATTTCAAATTTAACTACCCTATTTCAAGCATGAAACAATTATTTCAAGTGGAAAAAGACTGCTTTGATCAGTTTGGAAGCTTGTCAAACTCAAAATGGGCCTGTCTGAATTTCAAACATTTTATTCATTCATTCAGTTCTGACTCTTGGCGACTTTATAGGCAAGTGGTCTCCATAATATCCTGTCAAGTCCAGCTTTTCTCAATTGTTGGATGTTCATTTTTGTGTCAGCTCTGATCATATTAAGCCAGCAAGTTCTTTGCAGCCCCTTTTTCTTGATCCATTAATCATTCCTAGCATCATTGGTTTCTCCAATGAATTTGCACACATGACATGACTAAAATAAGTCAGATGTAGTCTTGTGATTTTGGATTCTAGTGTTGTTTTTGGTTTAATAGGATTCAGCACCCTTCTGTTAGTTCTTCTGGCTGTCCATGGTTTATGCAATCTTTTATGCCAGCACCACAGTTCAAAGGCCTCAATCTCATAGAGTCCTGTTTTTCTACCAGAGTGGCTATGATTGACATGCATGTAGGTTGAAGTAGAGCTAGTCCACGACTTACAACAGTTCATTTAGTGACTGTTCAAAGTTACAATGGCTTTGCAGCATCCCCATGATCATGTGATCAAAATTCAGATGCTCTGCAACTGGTTCATATTTATGACCGTTGCTGTGTCCAGAGGTCATATGATCACCTTTTCTGGCCTTCTGTCAAACAAAGTCAATGGAGAGCCAGATTCATTTAACAACCAGGATAATAACTTATCAATTGCAGTGATGCACTTAATAATTTTGGCAAGGAAGGTTTTACAATGGAGCAAAACTCACTTAACAAATGTTTCACTTGACAACAGAAATTTTGGGTTCAGTTGTGGTGGTAAGTCAAGGACACATTAAAAATGAAATTCTGTTGCCTGCTCTCAAAAGTGTACACATACATAACACATATTAACATGCTATATACAACATATGTATATATATATATACCTACACCCTTACATATAAATATTAATTGCGGTCCATCTTGAATACACAGCCAAAAGAGGAAGCTTGAGAGTTCACAAGGCTGATATTCTGACCCAAATTTGAAGCGTTATATTTCAAATCCAGTCAGATAGTTAACTCAAAAGAAACGATCTTATAATAAACAAATGTATTTTAATGAGAAAGATTACTTGCGTTCACATTGAGATAGGTGCTGCTGGAAATACATGTTTGTTCATCTTTCAGATCCTTTCCTTAAGTAAGAAAATGTTATTGCTCTTCACACCATCTTTATAATGACTGAGGCTATTGTATGACCTCCATGGCCCATGCTTGTTACAGACAGAGAGATTCCCAAGTGGCTTGTGTCCAGGAAGTCTCCCAAAGACCTTTGGAACTCCTCCCACTGACCCATCCACATACCTAGCATTTAACCCAATAACTGCCAGACCTTCCAACATAGAGCTGGGCCATAGAGCTATATGGGCCAGAACACTCCCCGCTTGGAAATTTATATTTCCACTACTAAAATAGTAAAAACGTAGCATCAAGGCATGCAATACTCATTGTGGTTAACTTGTGACTAAATAGGTAAAAACTTGGTATCAAACATGCATAACTATAAGGTAAACATAAAACATGCACAATTATGAAAAAGGCAAGTGTTACATCAAACAATGCATAAGACAATACATAATTTGAGGTTTAATCTTGTGGTTCAGTCTTCATCAGCAATGGACCAAATCGGTGATCAGCCTGGTACAAGTTTCTTTGAGTCACGACCTGACTCATGTGGCTTCATGATCTGGATCTCAGCTGGGTAAACTAGTTCATCAAGTGGGTGGGCCCGGTGCGCAGGAACCGTGGGCCAATAGTTCTGGTATGCAGTCTTGTCTCCCAATGAGACAAGGTCTTCTTCCTGTGAAGGAAACTGGAACCAAATCTGGAACAGAAAAAACTGGAACCCAAGCTTCTCGGGAATGAGGGGAACAGGATTCACAGGATACTCAGGAACTGAAAAACCTGGAAAGACATAAACAGCTGGATCTGGAAACTCAGGAACAGCTGGGACTGAAGAATCAAGATCAGGAACATCAGGAAACTCAGGAACAGCCGGAGCTGAAGAATCAGGAACAACAGCTGGGACAGAAGGGTCAGGAACAGCTGGAACGGAAGAGGTTCAATTGTCTAAGCTGGTCTTCCTTAGCAACAGGACTCGGTCAGTGATTAGTCTGGTGTAGAGCTAGTTGCTTGTCGTGATTCCTTAGACAGCATCTTAGGTTCTAGGTGTAAGGCTGCTGGGTGCCTGTCGCTGTTGCACAGGTGGCATTTCACATTAGCTGTGCAGTCCTTGGCCATGTGATCCATAGAGTCACAGCATTTGAAACATATCCTATTCTCTTTGAGTAGGGTCTTTCGGTCATCTAGGGATTTCTTCCTAAATTCTCTGCAATCATTTAGAGAGTGAGAGAACTTGTGTATCAGGCAAGTTAGGCCTTTGGTAGTTGGATGAGGGTTCGAAAGAGCGCTTCTCGGTGTTTGTTCGTCTGGAGACTTCTTTGGGGAAGGCGTGATGTCTGTTTTATACACCAAAGGTGTGGTTTTGTCCGTAGCTTGGGAAGAACTTTGGTTGGGGCTGAAGTTGTCATTTGTTGGCTCGAAGTTGCTGGCATTATGACATAGTTTTGCTTGGTCGGTCACAAATTCAGCGAGTACAGCGAAGGCAGGTGGTGCATCAGGGTCTTGGTTCCTGTGGGTTTCTGATATTTTGGCCCATTCATCCCTTGACTGCTTTGGTAGTTTTCTAACTATGATCCTTTGCTTCTCGAACTGATCGAGGCAGGTAAGTTTCGGCATGTTGGGTTGCTCGCGAACTGAATGTAGCATCGAGAGCGTGTCTGCGAATTCCAACATCTGGGTGTGATCATTGATATTGATGTTAGGGAAGGTGTAAATGCAATCTAAGGGCGACTTTTCTGTCAGTTCATGTCCGCCATACCGCTCGTCGAGCCTTTCCCAAGCTTTGAGAAGGGCGGTAGTTGGGTTGCCTAGGTGGGCTAGTTAAGTGTTCTCTACTAATCGTGTGGAAGCCGGTCCCAGCCATGTTTTCATGTGTCCGAGCGCTTCGCTCGATGTTATAGCTTCATCTTGGATGGCGGTTTGGAACGTGAGCTTCCACAATACGTAGTCCTTTCCCGGTTTATCGGGGAATTTGTGTACACCCTTGGATGCCAGATCTAGTTTGCTTCTGTAAAGTCTCATAGGGGTGTAACCGGGTGGCGATGGTACCTCGCTTCCAGGAGTGGGAGTGTGTGCCATGTTTGGCTGGTAACTTCCTTGGCGTATTGGTGGCTGGGTGTATTTTGCCCTGTCACGTGCAAGGGACCTTGTTGGCTTGGTCTGAACTCTGCTGCTCTGGCATTGAGCTGAGGGAGCCCAGGCTCTTGCTTGCTTACGTGTTGGAAGGTCTGTGTTTCTGGTAGAGTGTAGCTAGCTTCCTGGTAGGCTGTCAGAGCTGATGCTCGAGGCTGTCCTCTGTAGTCAGGAGTGGTGGCAGTTCCTTGGGGCGCTTCCTCCTGTTGGTGCAGCAGGGACTCTAGTGACTCTAGTGTGGCTCTAACTCTTTCAATCTCTTCCCTGAGCGACGGCTGGTGCTGCTGTAGGGCTGTTGGCGCTATAGGTGGATCCATCCGATTGCCATTAGTGGTATGGTTTGGTGGGTTCTGTGGGGTAATAACGGTGGGAAGATCTTGGGGCACTCCCCGCTGTGCAATTGTCGCCGTTGCTGGGGTAATAATGGTGGAAAGATCTTGTGGCACTCCCCGCTGTGCAGTCATTGCCATTGCTGGTAATCCCATCAGGTTCGATGTGGCAACAACGGCGGGAGGATCTCGTGGCCTAGGTGTCGTGACATCAACTCTGCAGTTGACCAGCGAATCAGGTCGTTGAGATTCCTCTGTTCGTCTACTCGGTCTTGGGGGGCTCGTGGCTGGCTGTGGTGCTCTCATCTGTGCGTTCTGGAATGCGCTTTGGATGTCCACATAGGTCTGTACGCGGCTACGACGCTCTTCGTTTTCCAGTTGTTGTCTGTCTGGCAAGAAAGTGGTGTACTGGAGTATTCTCTGAAGGCCTTTCGCTCTAGCCATTTTGTCTGCCATAACTCTTTGGCATTGAGTAAGTTCAAGTTCTTCTTGGGCGTCCTTTCTTTTGGCCTTCATTTTGGCTGCTATAGCCTTTCGTTTTGCTTCCATTTGGGCTGCTTCGGCTTGCATTTGGGCTGCTTTGGCTTGCATTTGGGCTGCTTCGGCTTGTAGCTTGGCCTCTATTTCAGCTTCCTCGAGTTCTATGGCCGACAACTCCTTCTTTTTCTGCCTCTCCTCTTGTGCCACACGAAAGACAGCTTCAGCGGCTTTAGCATCTAAGATTATTAGCTCTTCCTGTGAAATTCTGGATGCTCGGCTGCGGCGGGAGGATGCCTTCGAAAGGCGGGAGGCACCTGTGACATGTGATTGTTGGGATACACTAGAGTGTGCCCCGGACATGTGGCGGAAAGATGAGGCCTTTCCAGATACCTGAGATGGATCTGCGTACGATGGTTGGGATGGTGCATGTGAAAAGCATGAAACTTTGGACTCGGCTC